CTAAAGTTGTTTAGCTTCAATTTCCAGCCAACTACCCTACCTGACTGGTGACACAGATCCTTTGACCAATTGGCACGGGATGTGTAATGTACACTGCTGTGTTCATTACTACTGGATTTGGCTGGAAGAGCAAGGTTGTGAATGCCGATAGGGCCGTGGAAGAGCCTACGCTCTGATAGCCATAAGCACCAAAGGACAGTACGGGCCAGATCCTCTGCAGGTCTAAAGCAGCACAGCTGCACTGATTTCAATGGAGCTATTTCGACTTACCGCAGCTGAAAATCTGGCCCTATGCCTTCCAGGTGAATCCAGTTACAGGTTTCTGTCACACCACTGCAGACTATACTTCCTGTGCTCTCACAGCTTCTTTTTAAACTCCAGGGGTCAATAATGAAGTATTTTTCCTGTGAAATCATTTATTTACTGACTCTCCAATGAAGTCTGAGACTACAGAATTCTTAAACTTCTCCGTGTCTCCTTTTTTTTCCGTCCAAAACCAAATCTAACTCTGGAAGAGAGTATGTATTAAATCTCAAATTATTTACCAATATAAATATATTCTCTCAGTAAATTCACTTATCTCTGTCCTATTCATCAGCTCCTGGATGTCAGACAATTCAAACTGCATAAACATGAACCACTTGTAAATCACAAAGGCTTTTTATTGTACAAAAATGGCAGCTAGGTAAATATTCCTCATGTGAGCGTCCCATGTAATTTACAAGCAGGAGTGGTGTGTGCCATCAAGTCCTTAGTCTCACTTATTTCCGCTGAGTGGATTTATATTTCTTTCCCTTATGCTATTTAAGGGAGTAGCCATTCATGAATATAAGTTATCTAAATAATCAAGTAGAAATAGCAGGGAAGATAACACCAAATAGTCCTATAGTGCTAGGAAATAGATTATAACGATTTATGGGAGGAATCGGATTAGAAAATACTGGCTTTGGAGGATAAAAAAACAAAAACCAAAAACCCAACACATTTCATCTTTGTGACTGACGACATGAAATTGAATCCCAAACTAGAATGCCGATGATGGGTACCAGTTAAAGCATGTTAATGTCATGAGAGTTTAATAAGGCAAAGAGACTATAAATCAGTGGACTGCTGGCATGGGATCTTTGCAGTGTAAATATTCCAAGTGCCATATGGGGAGAAGCACGCACAACCGAGTTCTCTCCTGGGGTTAGCTGTCTGTAAGCGTCTCCTCTGTGCTCCATTTTACACCTACTTTATTACTTAGCTGCCTAACGCTGCAATCAAGCAAGGAGCTTTCCAGGTTAGAGGCTAAAATTCCTAAACTTGCACAAATTCTTCTTATCCACGCTGGACGGTGAAAAGCCATGGAGGTGTTCAGAAGACACACATGTGGCCAGAAGGATAACAATGGGATGTTTTCCAATCCGAACATCAATTGGATTCTGGTTTGCTCAGCGGCATTTACAGGTTTAAAAATCTTCAAACAAAAGCACACCAAGCATGAATTAGAAATAGCGTAAGTGGTCTGTATTTCGGTTTGGCGGGATTCGTTTTAAACTGATAGATGCTGGTAAATGTCAATTTCAGCGGACACTGAAATCAACACAAAACCAGCATCCATCAGTAATAGCATGAGCGCAGCCTGCCCCTCCCCCCGGCACGCTGCACCTACAGGGATCCAATGTCACTGGCCTTTTAGCAGCGCAGTCCTGGGAGTGAGCGAGCAGGGCCATGACAGCAGAGCTGCGCAGGGCTTCCTGCATGGTGACACTGGATCGCTGCAGGAGCAAGGCGTGGGGGAGGCTGCGGTCCTAGCAGGCGAGCATAGTGCTGGAACTAGAGGTGCTGAGGGGGCTGCCGCACCCCCTGGCTTGAAGTGGTTTCCATCATACGCAGGGGTTACAGTTTGGTTCAATGGCTCTCAGCACCCGCACTGTACAAATTGTTCCAGCGCCCCTGCAGGGCAGAGCAGAGACTCCCAGCCAGGCCTGTGAGGGATGAGTCCCCAGCTGTGGGGGAGGTCACCCTGCTGCTGAAAGGCTCCTGCCCAGGGACAAAACCATTCAGTAGCAGGGTGGCCTCCGCTGTGGCGGGGGGCTTTCCTTCCTCCGTGCCATCCTGACCAAGGGTCCTGCACCACCCTGTCCACTCTGCCCTCCCAGGCTTGTAGTTTTCTCCACACCTTGCACGTGCAGGGATCGGGTGTCACCGGCCTGTGACCACGTGGGGAGTCCTCTGCAGCTCCGCTGTCATGGCCCCACTCACTCACCCACCAGCCAGGTGTGTGGGAACTGTTCAGCAGTGGGGTAGCCTCCCCAGCAGCCAGGGGCTCATCCTCCTCTATGTAGTCCTGATCAAGTGGTCTCTGCTCCAGGTCAGGACCGCAACCTCCTTCGCACCTGTGTTTTGGGCCCCTCAGTGGCACAGGGAGCCCTCTACAGCCCTGCCCCAACCCTACCCACCCCTTAATATCATGCAACAGTAAAAATTTAGAAATAAAAAGTGACACTAATAATTGAAATTAAAGAAAAAAATTGGATTCTGACAAGACTATCTATATTTAGTAAAAAAAACTCCCCCAATTAACAAGGGCTTTCAAGAGCAAATGAAGGTTTGGCTGAAACATGAAACAATGAAGCAACTCTCCAAAAATAACAAGATACTAAATTATCCGTAAAGTAAACCTCTTGAAAATAAACAGAGAGTTGTTTTGACGTATCTGGCCAACCTCAGGCCTGTTTAAATGGTTGCAGCTCCAATAAAGATGATGGAACTGTACCAGCTTTCACCAGATCTGACTTTGGCCCCATCATCTTTATGAGTGAAAGGCTTCCAAGTTCAAAGGGAGTCTAATACATCTCCACATCTGACTCAGATAATCAGGTAATGAGCCAGTCAGGAGACCCCACCATTAGACAAGGTAAAAACTTGCCTTATTAGCCAAAAGCCCCAGTGGCTTGGCAAGGCAAACTCATCTGTTCTGTCGACAATCAGGATTTCTAATGTCACACAAGTGTACATTAAAGTCCACTTGCAATGAAGCCAGCAAGCAAAACTGGCTCCTCCTACTCTGCCAAGATAACTCCAACCACAATATAAATATTACTGATAACCAAGCAGTAATTGCAAGGAGGAACTGTGTGGCGGTCATGTATGACAAGCTTGCAAAAAAAAAAAAAAAAAAAAAAAATCAGAACTGTAAAAATATTTTGCATTCCGATTTATTTATTTATTTATTTATTTTAAGCTCCGGAGGGTTGTAATTAACGTCTGGAGGACATGAGAGGAATCGGAACAAATTTCAGCCCCAGCTTCCTCTGCATGTTGTTAATGGCTATTCTGTCCACTAATGTGCTCCAATTTTACCCACATCAACCACATGTGATACAAGCTGCAGGAAAGCAAGTGAATTTTTAATCATCTCTCTGATGTACAGCATAATTACTGACTTTAATCAGCCAGTAGTTAACCAAAGACTTAGAAAGAAAGAAATATTCCTTAATTACACAACTGCCACTGCTCACAGTGGGAGAGTCTTTGAAATGAGTAACCGGTCTCCATTATCACAGCTACACACATATTCAGACATGTACAAACAGGTTAGATCAGTATAGGCATTTATTTTGTTCTGAACTAGGTGTGTAAGTGTGTAGATGTGCTTATATTACAATGGAGAGCAGTTACTCATCTCTGACATTGTCTTGTGTACACATGGGAAGTGCACACTTGTGCACGTGCACATCCTTTTCCAATGTCCCCACTCACAGTGAAAATCTTCCACACTCTTTCCAGGTCACTTGAAAGATCCGAGCTTTATTCACATACAAGTGTCGACAATATCTTGCATCATCCCCCTCCCAAAGCGTTAACAATGGCGTAAAGTATGCGATGCAAGTTTCCCTCCCAGTTGGTAAGTCGCTTTGGCGCCATGTAAAATTGCAACTTTGACTCTTTGAGCCTTACAGTCTTTCTAGATACAAAGTTTACAGCCATGAATGTAAAAGACTCCCTTGATGCTGCCTCTACCCCCCACCCCCCTCGCCCTGAGTATACAAACTACATGCTTGTTTTCACATCCACAAATGCCAGCAGCACTTTGTTCTGCACCTGTGAAGCCCTGAGGACCGCCCATACATAACAAATAGTCATAATCTTACAAACAACCCCCTCTACCACCAGCCTGCTGTTGAAATTGCTGAAAGCTGTGCCATAGCACATTTACTTCACTTTTAAGGGCATAATCAGCATGGCACAATGGTGAGCTGCCATTTGTGAAATGCCCCAGAGTTTATTACCCAAGTTTGGAACAAGAAAGACACAAAATCAGAAAAACAGCAAGAGCGTATCACTTAGAACAAAGGGATGGTCAACCGAGAGAGCTCAAAAATGTGCTACGTCTGAGAATGATTTAGGTCGGAGCACGCTTTTGTAAGAGATGAAACACAAGTGCTCTGTTTTCAGCGGCTGCAGTTCTTTGCACAGTACAGCTGCTGACGGCTGGGCTTCCTTCCCTCTCCATGCATTGCTTAGCAAAGCAGCCTTATAGTCGTGTAAATAGTGAGGGACATTGAATTCCTCATATCAGACACTGGATCCACACCAACAACTTAATGTAACACTCCAAATGGTGTGACATATAAGCTTGGTAAGAATTGATCAAGAAAAGATGCTTAACGTTGGAGTATATTAGAGGCTAAAAAAAAAAAAACCACCAACCCCAACATCCAAAACAACCCAAGAGGACAATTTCCTGTGATTGCCCTGGAATGACATTGACTTCAATATGAAGGTGCTGAAATACTAGTCTCCTTCCTCCTTTCCCTTTATCCTACAGATCCAGCAGTAATGACACATCAATGTCTACAATAAAAGGCTGGTTTAAAATGGAGCGCAGGGACATGCCAATGATTTCGAATTCCCCTTTAATGGGTTTCCCCCCCCCCCATGAGGAAAATGTCACTTGATGCAACTGGGAATGGGGGAAATGAACTAAACGAGGGGGTTTTGTTTTCTGTTACCTGACTGAACTGCTCCCAGGAGTTGATCCAGGTCCAGTAGTGAGCCTTGTAAAGCCCAAGTCTTACTGCCATCATCTCGTTGCCACGGTAATAGAATATCGGCCTGACAGGGAAGCAGAAGGGGGAGGGGAAGTGCAGCTGCATGAGAAATGCAATGTGCCTAAACAAGCGCTTGGGCAGGCACACTGATAAGGGAGACAAACACTTTAATGGAGTCTGACTTCCGATTCAGCTATCAGTCAGGAACAGGCTGCCTTCTCAGAGTCTCCACTGCAAGGTTTTCAATTAACATTTTTTAAAGTGTTCATCAAGTTGAGAGCTCACATTGCACAAGAATGAAACATTATACAACTGGGCTGCCAGTGACTGTTAATCCTTGAACTATCAGCCCCTGGAATTTTCTATAGAGCGTGACGATTTAAACACCAAATGTCTCAGAAGAGTGGGGTGTGTGATGGGGATTCACAGAACATGTGATGCTTGGTCTCCTGTTTATGGCTGGGGACAGCTAGAGAGCACCAGACTGCCAGCTGTTACTGTCACACAGGCTGATTAGCCAGAGAAGGGGGAAAACAGCATTAAAGACGCATTCTGCTTTCCAGTGCCATCTCAGAATGCACCCGAATCACAAATGCTAGCACTCCAACATGCTTTAGATTCCACCCCCATCAATTTCTTAAAAAGCCTTCCCGTTAACTTGGCCTAATGCAATTCTGGGTGCTGCCTTTTCTCAAACCCGCATGGTTCTCAATTTAGGGAGCACACTGGGGATATATTTGGAAAATATATTCTATTCAGACTAGTTAATGGCCTGTGTCCCCCTTTCAAAAAATGTTGTGGCGAGCTCAGCACTGTCCCCCCTTTTCCCTTTGGTTTCACCGACAAAGCACTCTGTTGCTCTTGGAATGGAAGGTAAAACCAGACCAGTCCATTTCTGCAGAACTGAAGCATCTATAGAGGGCAGACTCTGTTGGCAGAGTTCCTCATGCAAGGACTCTAGCTTGGTCAGCTTTTTCCAGTAGTTATAGACTGCTACACGAAGTCAGAAAGTTCATCATCATCAGTTCTGAATCTGCAGCTTTGGTTTGGACTCAGAATTCCTATTTTGCAAGAACTGTCCGGTTCTATGGTGCCACCTTGAAGACCATATCTTCATGGTAAGAGAAGGTTAAAAATCTCCCTGACTGAAGCACAGGAGTGGTCTTAGATCCCTTCTGGTTTGAGACTGAACTGCAGTCTCCATCACTCCCTGCACAAACGATGAGTATTTAATAAGGAGCTCTTTGTATTTATGAGGAGCTTGTGAACAAAGGGAAAAACCCAGCTTAGCACACAGGGCCCATTCCTTTTAGTCCACTCTGTATGCACCAAAAACTAAGGGATAATGAGAGTGAAGGGGGTAGCAAGAATGCAGAACGGGGTCCAAAATGTTCCCACCAGTGAAAGAAAAGGACTCACTCATCCTGTTCTCGCTCACCCATAACACTCATACCTCAAGGAGCTTTCTTTAGTTGGGGGTGTTTGTATAAGATCTTTTGTTTTAAATAATCTTTTCCATCCCCACATCATCTTTACTGTTCCTGCTTTCTTAGCTAAAAAGGATGTTAAAACCTAACCCACTGGAAAAAAATATTAATGGAGTTTTTGGCTTTGGAAGACCTGACCTGGTTCACCTGGTGCACTGAAGTGACAATTATTGTAGTGCAAGGGGCAGAGTAATAAAACGTTTGCCTCTCCAATGAAAAAACTCTTTGATGTCAATAAAGAACCTCTTCAACCTTAAAGAAATAAAGTCATGCTAATTGCAAACATTTCACAGCACTCACAGATCCAGTAACGCCCGAAATTAGACACGAGGGGAATCACCTGCAGTGCTATGCAGGTGCTTTCTGCCCTAATGGGCACAAAAATAGCTTTTCTGACCTAAGGTTCAAAGTCAACACAGAAGAGAACACAGATGAATCCTGCAAGTATCCCGGTGCCTTTCCTCATGCTCTCCCCTACTTATGGAACATCCTCTCTACTTTGATTTGTCAGGCTGCTTCCCTCTGCTCAATTAAACCATTCCTGGAAATACTCCCAGTTCTACATTGCCCAGGAAAGGAAGTCAAGAATGTTCACTGTCTAATCTTGTCTTGTTTTAACACCCATCCCATCCCCCACTGCTGCTCATTATTCCAGCTCTTCAAGTCAAGTCTAAAATTTGGGCCCAACCGTGAAAAAGGATCCACGCAAGCACACAAGTGGGGTTTCAGTGAAGTCCCTTTCCAGGGTCAAGGCCTTTGACTGTATACTCTTTCAGGCAGTGACTGTGTTCTGTGAAGGACCCAGACACTCTTGGTTGCCTCACAGTAATAAATAATTAAACCTCCTTTCCCTAACCAGGTTAGAGTTCACGGAATTTATCCTCACTGTGACCTTATGCTGTTCCAGGGATCTGTGCTAATCCCTGGACAACTGAATGTGCCCAGGGAATCCATTTCATGGCAATATGCTGAGTTTCAAGCAATCCCACCTCGCTAGCTCCAGCACATAATTAGCACAGAAAGTAAATCTCTGTGGCTCACCCCAATTCAGCCATCAGGAACACAAAGTGCACCAGGCCAGTTTCTAAAGTAATAATAGTTTTTAAGAAGAGATTTTTAAAATGAGCAAATGAGTTCTGCCCCCCTCCAATAACCGCGAGGGAGGAGCTGTGAGCTCCGTGCTCATAACTAACCTGTCAATTAGCTTGCTCTGCAGGATGACAGGAGAAAGGTCAATACCGTCAATCTGTCTGTCACTGGGAGGCTGCAATCCCGCTAGGGAGAGGCTGGTGGTGAAGAGATCCATCACGTTACCCAGCTGATGACTCACCTGAAATCGACAAGACAACGAAGAGCGTTTGCACAGACTTTCCATACAAATTCAAGCAGACGAGGCTGCCTGCCTCTCTGCTACAAAAGAGCTGCTTTCTCAGTCCCATTCCTTTTTTGCATCTCTCAAAATTTCTCACTTGGGGCTTGCTCCTGCTCATATGAGAGTCACATGCAAAGTCCCCATTAGCTTCTAGAGGGCTGAATCAGGCCCTTCCTCCTTTCATGTTGTTTTTTTATGGATTTTTTTTTTTAAACCTTTCCCTTTACTTCACCCACTTTCCATTCATTCATTCACACTTTGTGGTGCTTAGGGCCCCCTGGTGTGCATAGGCAAATTATTACTCATTCTGAGATTGAAAAATCAGTATTCCATACAAAGTTCCCCTTGATTTATTCCATCCATTGGCCCTCTCCGGAGCCCTGCATTGCCAGGGGTGAGCTCCCAGCAAGTACAGAAGTGGGTGGATGGGGAGTGATCTTCGGGTCCCAATGACCTTGTCTACAAACCGTTTTCAACAATTCTAGAATGGTGAAGCTGGAATATTTTAGAATATTTTTATCAGGGAGGAAAAACCACCATTTTTTGGCTTTAGTGGTTTTTTAAGAGGTTTTTAAATTTAACTGGCAGCCATATTTATAATTCCTTCGGTCTTAATTATTCCTGTTTTAAAAACAAGCATCCCACACAGTATTTGTTTCCACCGATTACCTTCTGACTGATTTACACACACTCTTTCTGTGCTATGCTACTATGCTAGGAGACTATCATCTGCCTTGGGATGGGGAATTAACCAACATTACACAAAGTTGAGGCCGATATCTTCAGTCAAGTGAGAGAGTATGAGCACTTTGCGACAAGATGCATCAGTACCAGATGTGACCCAACAGAACCTTCCCAGGCATACCGCAAACTCGGAAACAAAGAGCCATGTGACCCAATTCAACATACTTATACAGTGGAGAAAAACCATTTTCTTTCTTTTCCATCCAAGGCAGATTCTCATGTTCTACCAATATACTGAGGATACCAATATATCTGTCATAGCATCATGACCATCAAAGCCTGCCTTATCCATGAATCTTCCTGCTAATAAGTAATGGATCTCCATTTACTAAGCTGACTCTAAAAGAGTATTTAAATACTGGAGCAAATTATCATAAAAGAGGAACTCTGCAACATATCAGCTCAGTTGTTTTAGTTTCTTCAGCCCTATTAAGGGAAACAAACCATTTTCTGAATTACTAAACCTCTTGCTTTAAGTGGCTAGATGGCCAATAGGTTGAAAAAGTGAACATCTAAGGATTTAAGCGGGGAATTGAAAAATATTTCTGAAAATTACAGTATTTTCCTCTTTCCAAAAACAAGAGGCTGCATGCTGTGCTTGCACTATTGGGATGGATTAAGCGTTTAACATTGCAATGTCACTCGGCTGGATTACAGTCATTTCAATTCTTAACCATTTGAATTCATCACAAAACACTGACAAGAGCATTTAATACGGAGGAAGGATATGGGCAAAACTTCCCCTGTTCCCATGCAGGAGAAAGAGAATGCAAAGCAGCAAGCATAGAGAGGACCTGATCCTGGAAACCTTTATTTATGAAAATAGCCTTTAGTCAGTAGAGTAATCTGACTGAAATTACTGGGATTACTGGCATGTGAAAGATTGCGTAGGATCAGGCCCATAGTTTGATTCAGAGCTTTTGCTGCACTGAGGTACTTTGGAAGAGGCTAGGATCAGCCTGTTTTTGTGGGCAGTAAGGATGGGAAGGGGTTAAATCACAGGACCTGAAATATTAAACGGTTCTCCACATGAGCAACACAAGAGGCAGGTATGTACACGAACTCTTCTAAAGGTTCATCTCCTCATTTGGAGGAGAGGATGGAGGGAAGCTGCTGGCAACTTTTTCTGCTACGCAACCTCTGAGAAGGAACTGGAACAGTCCCATTTTACAGTGAAACTGGACGTACTGTTTTAGTTTTATAATGTGCACTGGTACTGGGAGATCCATATTTTCTCCCTTCAAAACAAAACAAAACAAACCTACATACACTGCACCAAATCCTGCAGTCCTTACCCAGGCAAACCTCCCATTGCCTTCCACCCCAACAACTAAGTCAGACACCAATGAGACTGCGGCTCACTGCAAATACACAATGGTTACACACACGCTCCCTGTTCCTTTGCAAGAATGACAGACGTGCATTTTTATTGCTGATTCAAACACTAACAAAAATGCTGTTGTGTAGCTATCAGATACAGAGATCTGGGGAGGGGTCAGGCCCCACTGACCCCATTTTGATGGGACCTAGATGTTGCTGCGGTTGCTCCTTACGCTCTACTGTCTCCACACTGCTCTCTTTGGGTACACCTACACTGCAAAAAATAAACACAAAATAAAAAAAGATCCACAGCAGTGTGTCTCAGAACAACTGACTTAGGCTCATGCTACAGGACTAAAAATAGCGGTGCAGACATTCCTGCTTGGGTTGGAGTCCGGGCTCTAAGACCCACCCCCTTCTCCAAGCTAGCATGAGTCTGTCTACTAGGGCTGGGAGGCTCACCCCCAGCTGCAGTGTAGACATACCCTTAGATTGTAGGCTCCTTAGAGCAAGGATCTTGCCGTGTGTGTGTGTTTTGTAAAGGGCTGTGCACACGTTAAGAGTGCACAGACATTAAATAATAACAATGTTATCCTCCTTCAAAGAAGCTATCACATCCATTCCTGACAAAGGTGGACAACTTCACACACCATGAGGTGCTGAGTCTCATATGCTCGCCCCCTGCTCCTTACCCTTTGCACGTCGCAGGCATTGTGAGGTTGGAGAAATGCCATGTGAAGGATTTGAGAGATTAATAAAGGGGATATTTGGCACATGATATAGTTATTAACGTGCCTGCTCTCCATGTACTCCTGCTGCAGCAGGAATGAACAGGATAGCTAGCATGTAAGACTTTTTGTAATTAGGCCTTTCACAGTTTATAAGGCAAATCCAAAAAAAATCACTTTTCATGTCGCCACTCAATCCTGTCACCTAAATCTTTTGGCTAACAGACAGCAAGAAGCAATAGCCAAGCTGAGACGTACTATCTAATTTATACACTGTGACAGTCCTCTGGGGCCACCACTGACTTCTTGTACTGGCCTTTATTAAACATAACCAGATGTAGATGACTCCCTTTAATCATTCAATTACGTTTCTGGTCTCAGACAACATTCTTCCGTGAAGCAGAGAAAACTTCTTAAGGAAATTAAACGCCAGTGCCACAGCCACTTGGATTTATCTGTGCTCTGCAGCACCGTGAAGAGAGAAAAAAAATAAAAAAGGTTAATATTTATAAAACTTTGAAGTATTTTCAGGGAATTTTTTTTAAATTACCATTTTCTCCTGTCAACAGCACTCTCATTCTAGTTGCCTCTTCCATTTTTTCTTAAGAAAAATAAAAATCCAGAGAGAGTAACAGCCCAGAGAAAATAAATAACATATAAAAGAAGAGCGAGATCAGATATTCCTCATATCAGTAAGGAACAGCTGGCATTACGCACGTAAGAAGGGCTCCCCCCCCTTTTTTTTTAAATAAACTCTCAGTGAACACATAACGTCTTTAAGAAAATGAAATCCTTTTGCTGTGGGCCACGTTGCGGGAAGAAATAGTCACCACTGCTGTTATCAGCGCTTTCAAGCTTTAACTCTGAATCAAAGGCGACAATTAATAAAGTCGCCCCCGCCAGGAAAGGAAAGGAGAAAAGCTAAATATTTGAAACTGGGTGAACAAATGTCAGGGTGTTTTTAAATAAAATCCTTTTACAGTTATCACAGCGAGCAGACCTGATATCCCTGTCTAATTCAATTTCAATTTGCGCCCCATGGGAGATAGTGAAGAAAAGGTTGCAATGCTGTCTTTGGGTTGATATGTTCTTTTCTCCTTCAGGGAGCAGGAACTGGGGAGGGAAGGGGAGGAGACACGCAGAAAGAGAGAAGGAGAAGGATTCAAATACCAGCAGAATATGAATTTCTTTCAGCTAGATCTTTCCAGAAGGCAGATGTGATGCAGGGAATGTTTAAATGTTGACTTGTTATGAATTCACCTGGAAAATGGAGAGGGGGAGGAAGCTACAGAAAGGCTGTTTGTGTGTGAATAAACATGCCAAAACGGGGCCAAAAGGAACTGAATTTTGATGCCAACACCAGCAGCAGCCTCCTGTGGCAAGACCCCCACCGAGCCCCAAACTGGTTACCTATAGTGCTACTGATGTTCCTATTAGAACTGTCCACTTGATTTCCTTTATAATTTCTACTCAACATTCCTTTTATTTGAAATAAAGAAATACACCCACTAAAAAAAAAAATCTACAAGTCAGTAAGATTGTCAGCATAAGAACATAATGGCCATACTGGGGCAGACCAATGGTTCATCTAGCCCAGTATCCTGTCTTCTGACAGTGGCCAATGCCAGGTGCTTCAGAGACAATGACCAGAACAGGCTATCATTGAATGATCCATCCACTATTGTCCACTCCCAGCTTCTGTCAATCAGAGACTAGGGACACTAAGAGCATATGTTTGCATCCCTGACCATGTTGGCTCATAGATATTGATGGATCTATCTTCCATGAACTTACCCAATTCTTTTTTGAACTCTGTTATAGTTCTGGCCTTCACAATATCCCCCGGCAAAGAGTTCCACAGGTTGACTCTGCGTTGTGTAAAGAAATACTTCCCTATGTTTCTCTTAAACCTGCTGCCTATTAATTTCATTGGGTGATCCCTCTTATGTTATGTAAAGGAGTAAATAATACTTCCTTATTCACTTTCTCCACAGCAGTCATGATTTAATAGACCTCTGTCATATCCCCTCTTAGCCATCTCTTTTCCAAGCTGAAAAGTCCAAGGTTTTTTAATCTCACCTCATGCAGCAGCTGTTCCATACCCTTCATCATTTTTGTTGCCCTTCTCTGTACTTTTTCCAATTCTAATATATTATTTTTGAGATGGGGCGACCACAACTGCATGCAGTAATGAAGGTGTAGGCATATCATGGATTTATATAGTGGCATTATGATGTTTTCTGTCTTATTATCTATCCCTTTCTTAATGGTTCCTAACATTGTTAGCTTCTTTGACAGCTGCTGCACATTGAGTGCATGTTTTCAGAGAACTATCAACAATGACTCCAAGATCTTTTCTTGAGTGGTAACAGCTAATTTATATCCCATCATTTTGAATGTATAGTCAGGATTATGGTTTCTAATGTGCATTATTCTGCATTTATCAAATTTCTGACCATCAACAAGGAGGCATGACCCTTCCAGAGAATGCTTTAACTCCAGTAGTTTGGTGGGGCTGAGCAACCGAATGGCGCAGGCAACAGGATAGGGAAACATTCAACAGCAGGTTACTGCTTTGAATGTGGCCTCGGTCAACAGTAACCAAAAGTTGTCACCATTTGATAGATGTTTGGTCATCGCTATGAGACAGTTTGTGGGTTCACTCCAATTCCTGGTGGACTTGTGTCCATCGTAAAAGTAGTATTACTAGCGGGTAAAGTTCCCGACTGATTTAGCAGAGAATTCAATGACTACATGGGCACTAACACTGAATTAACCTCTGACTCCTCCCTCCTGGTCAGGTTGGGAAGGTAAAAGCTTCAACATACTACATGTAAAATAGACAAAAAACTGTAGAAGGGAGCTCTCCACCGACTAGGTCTAGAAAAGGCAATTGTTGAGAAATAACTATGCACTATAAAAACTATACATGCGACTAACACTAGAAGGCAATGGCAGAGTTGCATTACCCAAAAACCTGAAGCAATGCTGTACTTCTCACCTGAGGATAGTGTTGCGGTGGGCATCAGACTGCAGGAGCTTTGATTGCAAGAATACAAGCATAGAAGACCTATCAATATCTGTTATTATGTATTTATTTACAGATCCATACTAGCACATCCACAACACAGAGTGAAGCAGCACATTATGGAGCACAGGTTTGAAAAGAGTCTGAACCCAATGGGAATTGTGGGAGCACAACTCCTCTCAGGATTAGACCTCTATATGTGTAACCATTTGGTGGCCAGTTTCCTGAAATGGGGCTAAATCAAGCAAGGAATTAAGCATATGCCTAAAGTGAAGCATATACTTAAGTGTTATTAAAGTCAATGAAGGCAGATCCATCAATGGAGTGATGCCAATTTAGATCAGGTGAGAATCTGCCTAATAAGACTTAAGCATGTGCTTAAAGTTAATCATATACATAAGAGCTTTTCTAAATAGAGGTAGCTTGCCTTTGTGTGTGTACCCATGGCAGTATGGCACCTCATTTGGGTGTGCCAATGTGTTAACCATACATAAATGGTTGATCATACAAATTTAGGTTAAACTTTCAGTTGTTTCTAAAAGAGCAAGCAATTCACCACAAACTACCACATTGAGCTCCAATCTGTGGCAAACATTTCTTACCATCACATAAAATAGCTAGCTACACTGCATGTACAAGATTACTGTTGTTAAGTTATTGCTAAAAAAATTTCCTTGCCTTTGTTCCTAATTATACCTTAGAGTTATTTTTTCATATCTAATGTACCTGTCCCCATTAATGATGGCTGTTTACTTTAGGCACTTTACTCAAGTTTGTACATACAAACCAAAACAGTTAGTTTCAATTTTGTGTTCTCATGCACTAGTCCAAGGTTACTTATGCTTGGCTTGCAAGGACTTCATGGGAATGTTTAAATTCAAACAATAAACTGTTTTCATTTCAAATGTTAAAGAATCATAAAAACATTCCTATTAGGTTTTGTAAAACCTTTAAAAATGACAAACTCAAATTGCCCTTGTGCTCCAAATTTTAGGCCAAATCTGACAGTGGCCCTCTAAATATGTTCTATAAATTATCTTTATCCGATTTAATGGATTTACAACATTGAAAAGGAATGTAAATTAGAAAAATAAATGTTTTATAAATATTTTGCGATCTTGGGCACAGTGTCGAGTTGATGAAGTATCACTTCTTTCTGAATAAAAGACATCTACAAAGGGGAGGGAATGCATATTATTTAACAGGAATCCTGCCTCCTGGAGACCTGATTAAATCTTTCTTTAATGAGTATTGGGACAATTTCCTGCACATGCTGGTATTGCCACCTGAGGATTATTTTAGAATGAGCATCATTTTAATCTCTGTGCAGGCAGGAAATAGCAACATTCTGGTACACAGACCTACCTCCCTGAGTGAAACTGCTATCTAGCCACAAAAAACAGGAGTGTCAGGTTTAAAATCACTCGATGCTGCAGGACATGCAGAATACATCCAGAAAGCATGTTCCTCCACTGCAGCAGGGCACACAGTAACAGGAATGTCCTTGCATTCCATTTGATCGCATTGATAATCCACTAAAAATGCTGGGGATACAGACGTATGATCCAACAAAAGTGAAGGGGTTAAACAGACCAGGAAAACAAAAAGGTATCTGCTGGCTAAAATCAAACCCCTTAGTGTTCATAAAAAATCCAATCATGTGCATTCACGGTATAAGATTGCAATAATGTAATTAACTGATCTTATTGTATACACATCAACCAATTCTTGACTTAATCAGATCCCAGGTTTCGACACAGTGATTCCATTGAGAATGTGCTAAAAGCCCTGAACCAAAGACCATTGAAGCCAATGGGATTCCTTCCATTGACTTCAGTTGGCATTGGATTGGGCCTAAAATTGTTAAGGCCAGATACTTACGTGTCCTGCAGGTATCTGGCCTGGCCACCAAGCAATAGCTGGCTCCCTCATCCCACCTTCAAAAGTGGTTTGTTTACCACACAGAAAGCGACCATTGCTACCTCCTATAGGAAAGAAAATTGATAAACACTATGTTTTTCCTGTGGATGCTTGTGAAGGTCTTTTCAGCAGGGGAGAAACTGACTGATCAGTAGACTAGCTAGGGAGTGCTATCAAATGCACAAAGGAAACAAACAAAACAAAACAAAATTTTTTGTTAACTTCTTTCATTTATAGGACTCTTAAATGTTTCTTGTGAGTGAAGGAGGTAAAAATTGATCACACATTGAATGAGTCAACAATGGGACAGAGGTGCAAAAAAGGCCAATATCATTCTGGCGTGTATTAACAGGAGTGTCAGATCTAAGATATGAGCAGTAACTGTCTTGCTCTACTCGACACTGGTGAGGCCTCAGCTGGAGTCCTGTGTCCAGTTCTGGGTGCCACCCTTTTAGAAAGACCTGGACAAACTGGAGAGAGTCCGAAGGAGAGCAACAAAAATGATAAAAGATTTAGAAAACCCGACCTATGAGGAAAGGTTAAAAAAACTGGGTATGTTTAGTCTTGGGAAAAGACTGAGGGGAGACCTGATATGTCTTCAGATACATTATGGGCTCTTACAAAGAGGACAATGATCAACTGTTATCCATGTCCACTGAAGGCAGGAAAAGAATGAGCGTCATCTGCAGCAAGGGAGATTTAGGTTAGTTATTAGGAAAAACTTTCTAACTGTAAGAATAGTTAAGCACTGGAACAGGTGACCAAGTCAGGCTGTGGAAACCGCATCATTGGAGGCTTTTAAGAACAGGTTAGACAAACACCTGTCAGGGATGGTCTAGATCAGTGGTCTCCAACCTTTTTATGCCCAAGATCACTTTTTGAATTTAAGGGCAACCCAGGATCTACCCCACTCCTTCCCCAAAGCCCTGCCCCTTCCTCGAAGCCCCGCTCTGCTCACTCCATCCCCCCACAACCTCCGTCGCTTGCTCTCCCCAACCCTCACTCACTTTCACCAAGCTGGGGCAGGGGTTTGGGGTTCAGGAGGGAATGCGGGCTCTGGGCTGGGGAAGAGGGGTTTGCAGTGTGGGAGGGGGCTCCGGGCTAAGCCTGGGGCAAGGGGTTGGGGTGCACGAGGGGGCAAGCTCTGGGAGGGAGATTGGGTGCAGGAGGGGGCTCCAGGCTAGAGCAGAGTGTTGGGATGCAGGGGGGGTACAGGGTGCTGGCTCTGGGCAGGGAGTCAGGGCTGGGGCAGGGGGTTGGGGTGCACGAGGAGGTACGGGGTGCTGGCTCCAAGAGGGGGTTCAGGGTGTGTGCTCCAGCTGGGCGGCACTCACCTCGGGCGGCTCCTGGTCAGCAGTGCAGCGGGGCTAAGGTAGGCTCCTTACCTGCCCCAGCCCCGTGCCGCTCCCGGAAGGGGCAAACGTGCCCCTGTGGCTCCGGGGGGGGGGGGGGGCACCTGGCTCCGTGAGCTGCCCCTCTCTGCAGGCATCGCCCCCTCAGCTCCCATTGGCCACAGTTCCCCGTTCCCGGCCAATGGGAGCTGTGGGGGAAGTGCTTGCAGGCAGGAGCAGCGCGCAGAGACCTTTGCCCCCTCTCTTCCCCCAGGGCTGTGGGGGTGTGTTGGTCGCTTCTGCGAGTGGTGTGGGGCCAGGCAGGCAGGGAGCCGGACTTAGCAGCAGCCCCGCTGCACTAGCGGAGATCGCGATTGACTAGGAGAGTCTCCAGGATCGACCAGTCGATGGCCATCGATCGGTTGGTGACCACTGGTCTAGGTAAACTTGGTGCTGCCTCTGCACAGGTGGGTGGGCTAAATGACCTCTCGAGTCCTTCCGGTCCTACATTTCCATGATTCGATGAACATTTTCAGATTGAAATCTGATTTTCTAGGGTCTTTTTAAGATATGAGTTTCATTGGATATAGACATGACGACGACAAAAGTGAGATTACATTTTATTTCCCCAGGAAAGCTCGGCTCATAGACGGCAGCTGGTTTGCATGGAAGGTCCCCACTTTTTATGCAGCCTTACAGCTGCACTGACTGAGGAACAGCCAGGAAAGTCATGTGATTTGCCCAAGGCCACACAGATTCAGTAGCTCAGCTAAGGTTAGAACTCAGGAGCCTCCCATCTTGTGGCCTGATAATCACAAGACTACCTGACCTCCAAATAGGGGGAAAGGGGGGGGAAATAAAATCAATCTGCTCAAGAATAGAAGCTTGAAAACAAGAGAAAAACTGAGAAGTCCAGCAAAGCTGTCCATGGCAGGGAATGTTTATTCTCCTTGACATCGTTTCATAGAGCTAAACACATTGGGACTCCTGGATCTTTTATAATGATCCAGAAAACTCAGGTATGCATTCGATAATGGCCCTCTAATTTGTCTTCCTAATTAACTAATACAGGAGACTTAGCAGTTCCCTGTGTATGTCACTTCTGCACACACAGTATCAACAACAGATTAAGAGAGAAGGTGGGAGCAAATATACAGTCGGTAGGAAGCTAATGTACTGCTTTTAAGAGTAAAATAAAAAAATATACCCATCAGCACCGGGGCACAGTACAGAATGCACATGTACTTGTCTAAATATGAGTGTGCCCCGGTGAGCAACTAACACAAGCATGGACTGGAGCAGAACTCTAGTTCTGAACACTCCCGAACTTTGAGGCTTCTCTTATCTATATAAGGGACCAAACCAAAACCTCAGATGTCTTTGTCTTCAAACTCAGAGTATTTGGATCTGTACCCGAACTTCATAGCTGAGGTCCAGCTCTGTTCATTAGACACTTACCTTGTTTAGGTGCTGAAATAAGAGCAGCTCCATTATCAGATGTGAAAAACACAAAAGTGTTCTCACTGATGCCCAGGTTTTGAAGGGATTTTAGGATTTTCCCAATGCTGTCATCAATTTCTCGCACTGCATCACCATACCTGAGATAGTAGAGATTACAAACATGCAAGCCAGTAAAGGAGGAGAAATAGTTTAAACCAGGTAGTCTTACAGAACATAAAGCACTCCATTAAAGCCCACAAGAATACTGAACTAATTGTGCTGAAGAGGGAAATAATTCACCTACACATCAGGTACCATAATAGAAGTTTACCAGTGTCACTTCGTAACTTATGTCTCTTTTATCTGCAGAAAGCAGCCTCTCTTGGATATTCAGACTCTCCAATTTGCTAAGATCTGAGCATTCTTGGACAGAGACCAGCAATTGAGATAAATGAAGCCAAGTATAAGCAGAGGCCACTTTTGCCATGAACTGAGGCTAATAAAGTAATTTTGTTTATAGATGCTAGTTTGAAACTGTGATCTTAAAAGCAAGGTCCATTATATCTATAGAGCTCTCCTTCCCCCACTGTAAATTGCATTTTCCATGATGTGGAGCCTGTTGGCTGTTCTGATTTACAGGCTTTTAAGCCAGGCTAATCAAACTATGGGCAGGTCTTCACTACGGGGGGGGGGGGGTCGATTTAAGATACGCAAATTCAGCTACACGAATAGCGTAGCTGAATTCGACGTATCGGAGCCGACTTACCCCGCTGTGAGGACGGCGGCAAAATCAACCTCCGCAGTTCCCCGTCAACGGCGCTTACTCCCACCTCCGCTGGTGGAGTAAGAGCGTCGATTCGGGGATCGATTGTCGCGTCCCGAGATGCGATAATTCGATCCCCGAAAGATCGATTTCTACCCGCCGATTCAGGCGGGTAGTGTAGACCTAGCCAAAGTCAACAGACTAACAAAAGCACCCATTCCACAGAACAGCATTTCATTACTCACACGGTGGGCCAGGGAGCTTAGATTTCACCCACATTTGTATCACACCATCTTTATTTTGGCTTACAACAAATATATTAAAGATCAAATTGGACACAGTCTTTTTGGAAAAAAAAATACTGAAAGGAAATTCCATGCTAGCTAGTATGTGTATTTAAACACGCATGCACACACACACTTTTAACAAGTGATCTATGTTACTTCAGTCCAATAAATATTGCTGTGGTTTTCTACTATCACAGTAGGCAGCAGAAATCAAATAGAAGGTGACTTACAACCCTCTCTGGCTAGTGCCCAAGAAATGTTTGGAGGCATAAACAGGAGCATGAGTAGCATCAATAGCCCAATAGAGAAAGAACGGCTGACGACTGGCTTGCTGCCTGCTAATAAAGTCGAGAGCTTCCTGTAAATGACAACAGAAATTAATGTTAACAGGATCATCCTCCGCCACCTAAAACCCTCAACCTAAAGTAACAAAAAAGGGCTGTGGATTATAAAGCTATATGGGTATAATGTATAAAGAAAATATATAATACCTGTAAGTAGATCTGAGTTAAGTTTGCTTCCCCTGTCTTCAGATCAATTTTGAAATCTTCATAATATCTTAAAATAAAGCAGAACCAGGAAAAAAAAAATCAATACCCGTGGAACACAGAACCAAAGGGCTGTTCTTCCCTATTATTTATATGGGCAGGTCATTGTTGTTACTCAACAAAAGGACAGAGACTCACCACTTATGTAACCAGCCATTTCTTCTCAGAAACTGAAAAGAAGTTGATGATGTTTTTTTATGTTAGGAGAGAACAGTGAAATTGCAAGGTCAGAAGAAATGGTGGGCTATCATGATGAAAACATATAAAGGGTTACCACAAACAGGGAGGGGAGAAAAAAAAAATGCCTTCACTAAGGGAATGGAATCAGTTTCCAAAAGAGGCACAGCTGGACGAGCACCTCTGGGAGATGGTTTAGAGCAGCAATGACCTATTTGTGGTCCATGAGCACATTTCGGCAACATGCAGTTTGTTCTTGGCTCTCTAGCCTGCCACAACCCCTAGCAGCCAACATTCACCCCTGATGTTAGCTGCATCGCTTGTGACAAATGCCTGGTGCAATACCTGGTTTGAATATGTGAACACTCTGGCACATAAGGGAATTTTGGGCACTCCCTTGTCCCTTTCTTAAGTGCTCTGGCCTTTGAAGCCTTTCAGACTTGAGCACCAGAGCATTCCATCATTAAAAAGCAAGATGCCAGATAAAAGCCCAGCACTAAAGCAGCTGGGCTTTAAGTTCATCTTTTGAGGTCGGGATGAGGATGCCAGGATCCCACCAGGGAACAGCTGAAGAGTTCAGACTAAAATTTAGCACAGATCTAGTGCTTATAATCTTCACGGTGCTTTAAAAACATTAACAACCCTATAAAAGTAGGGCAGTATTAATGTTCCCATTTTACAGATGGGAAAACAGACACAATATGAGAGCCAGGCTTAGAACTCGGGAATTTGTTTCTTAGCCCTGCGCTTTAACCACTGGATTGTGCATCTCTCTCAATAAACAGGTAAGTCCGGGAGTGGGAAAGGAAGCTGGAAGATCTAGCAGGCACTGCCCAGACACAAACGCTCTGAATCCTTCTGGCTGCCAAGATCCTCCTTCATAAACACCTTCCTCCTCCAATGATAAGTGTCCCATCTCGACTTGCCCTCTCAGCTGCAAAGTTCCTCCTACTCCAAGTGACAAACGCTCTAAACCTAACACCGTCCTCCCACAGATGCCAAAATCCTCTTGCACTCTCTCCTATAAGAAATGCTCCTCACTTTGGCTTGGCACAGGGGTGGGCAAACTTTTTGGCCTGAGGGCCATGTCAGGGTTCCGAAACTGTATGGAGGGCGGGTGTAGTGTATTAAATTGCTCCCTGTAGGAATGTGCTACTTACGGTGTACTTCTTACGGCTGCCAGTCCTGGTGCTCCCTAAGTAGCACATTCCTACGGGAAGCAATTTAATACTCTCGCAGCCACGCTGCCCAGCAGGAGCTCGCAGCCCCGCCGCCCAGAGTGCTGGTGGCACAGCGAGCTGAGGCTGCAGGGCAGGGGGGACAGCAAGGGAGGGGCCGGGGGCTAGCCTCCCCAGCCAGGAGCTTAAGGGCCGGCCAGGACGGTCCCACAGGCTGGATGTGGCTCGCGGGCTGAAGTTTGCCCACCTCTGGCTTAGCATGATTGCAAACAGTCACCTGGGCCTTACACTGCTCACAGTCAGCCATCTCTGGTCTAGGGACAAAAGTCCTGAGCAAACAGAATGGGGGTGGGAAGGGAGCGGAAATACATCCCCTTCAGTGGGTCCCTTTCCCACTTTAACAATTCTAGGATTGCCAATTCACTACATGTGCTGAAAACGCCGTGTGGTACATGTCAGATGATATTTGAACCAGTTCATCCCTTATGACTGACATTTCCTTCGCTCATGTCCAATAATTCTTGGCATGGTGTGAGGTTTCTGGAGATTGCTGCCCATCCAACCAAGCCACGGTGTTACTGCTGTGTCTGATCCAGGAGTATTTGCCTGCCTCTCCTAACTGAAGACAGCTTGCTGATTGAACGCTTGTCTTTCAGTAGACCACAGGACAGCTGAATAAGACCACAGGGAAAGCAAAGAAAACAAGCCGTTGATAACTTCCAAAATATTTTTTTAAATGAGCCATGGAGCAAACAGCTGAATTACCTGCCAATCATTTCCCTGTCCCTATAAACAGGGATGTTTGGGGTGGCTTTGTTATCGTAAGGTCCAAAATGGCAATTAGGGGATCCAAACCATTCATCAAATCCATGCTTCAAGGGGTGGAATTGGGGTCTGTGACCCAGATGCCTAGGAACAAAAGCCACAAAGAGTTCAGGAGTCCATTGCAAAGGAGTAAATAGTAATCTTCTCAGAACTATGTAGAAAGAAACATCTTTCAATGACGTTAAAGGAAAACGTCAGTGATTAGTTAGTTACAGTCCTCTAGATAGCCAAATAAACAATGACTAGACAAAAACGTGCATTCAAAAGAGATTATAGAAATCCCTGCCACTGTTCCAGTAGCTCCACTAAGTCAATGTCCAACTTCTCTTCTCTCTAAACATGTTGATTATCTGTGATGATGGTGCCTTGAGTGGAGGTGCCCAGAACACACAGCAAAAATACATATAATAATTAATTTAGGGCTTAGGTCTCATTTATACCAAGGCTCTTCTACACCAGTAAATTGTGTAAAGGGGCCCCAAAGTGTGTGTAATTTACAATTACATTTACATTTACTTTAAGGCCCTTTATGCCACCAGAGTGACGTAAAGGGGCTTTAGTGTAAATGACAATGAGGCCCTTAAAATGTACATATGAAAGCAACACACAAAAACACACACACACACACACACACACACACACACACACAAGCTTCTGTTAACAGCTTTTTTCCTGGATATAAAATTTAAACTTTCCTTCTTTAGCTTCAGGCTACTGCTCCTTTCCTTCCACATCTTCTGGGACTGTGAATAACTCACTTCCTTCATTTGTGAAAGTATTTATAGACGGTCATTCTCTCACTGTCTCAACTGGACAAATTTCTAGCTGAACATGCATGTGTCACTTCAGTCTTTCCTCATAGATCTTTAACCCATGGATATTTCTGTGGCCCTCTTTTGTATTGTCTCCAAAATTTGGGGACCAGAAATGCACTCATTGGACTAAATTGGTCCCTGGTGTAAACCCGATGAGATCAATGGAATTACACCAGAGACTAATTTAGTCTCACGATTCCTGATCCGGTCACACACTGGCTGTGTAAATTAGAACCACAAATCTCCCTAGTTTTACATGTGGTATCCCCACATATATACGCGTGCGCCCGCACGCGCGCACACACCACAACAAAAATACCCCTCGCTATCTTCACAGTGACTAGGGGCATCGAAAATCTGATCTCCAGAGAGATTTTAAAAAGAGGGACAGTTTACAAAGGAGGCGAGTAAGAAGGAATATGAGAAAAGCATACAAAATAAATAAATAATTAATGGGGTAGAGAAGGTAGATTAGACGCTCCTGTTCTCCCTCTCTCATAACACAAAAATGAAGGAAGTCAATGAAACCCAAAGTCAGCAAATTCAAAACTGAGCAAGGGGAATACTTTTAACACCCAACACATAGTAAGAACATAAGAACGGCCATACTGGGTCAGACCAAAGGTCCATCTAGCCCAGTATCCTGTCTTCCAACAGCAGTCAATGTCAGGTGCCCCAGAGGGAATGAACAGAACAGGTAATCATCAAGTGATCCATGCCCCGTCGCCCATTCCCAGCTTCCCTGCCCATCTTAGCTAATAGCTACTGATGGACCTATCCTCCATGAATTTATCTAGTTCTTTTTTGAACCCTGTTATACTCTTGGCCTTATCATCATCCTCTGGCAAGGAGTTCCACAGGTTGACTCTGAATTGTGTGAAGAAATAGTTCCTTTTGTTTGTTTTAAACAAATGCCTATTAATTTTATTGGGTGACCCCTATTTCTTGTGTTATGAGGAGTAAATAACACTTCCTTATTTACTTTCTCCACACCAGTCATGATTTTACTGACCTCGATCATATTCCCCCTTAGTTGTCTGTTTTCCAAACTGAAAAGTCCAAGTGCTATTAATCTCGCCTCACATGGAAGCTGTTCCCGCTGTACCTAATCATTTTTGTTGGTCTTTTCTGTACCTTTTCCAATTCAAATATATCTTTTTTTGAGATAGGGCGACCACATCTGCACGCAGTATTCAAGATGTGGGCGTACCATGGATTTATATAGATGCAATATGATATTTTCTGTCTTCTGTCAATTCCTTTCTTAATGATTCCCAACATTCTGTTAGCTGCTGCACATTGAGTGGATGTTTTCAGAGAACTATCCATGACTCCAAAATCTCTTTCTTGAGTGGTGACAGCTAAATTAGACCCCATCATTTTATATGTATAGTTAGGATTATGTTTCCAATGTGCATTCCTTTGCATTTATCAACACTGAGCATAATATGACCGTGGAACTCACTGCCCCAGGATGTTACTGAGGCCAAGAATTTGGCAAGATTCAAAGAGGGATTGAAGATTTATAAGGATAACATAAAATTCAAAGAGACAAGGTGGGTGAGATAATATATTTTATTGGACCAACTTTTGTTGGTGAGAGAGACAAGCTTTCAAGCTTACACAGAGCTCTTCTTCAGCTCTGGGAAAAGTGCTCAGAGTAGGGTGACCAGATGTCCTGATTTTATAGGGACAGTCCCAATTTTTGGGTGTTTTTCTTCTATAGGCTCCTATTACCCCCCACCCCAGTCCTGATTTTTCACATTTGCTGTCTGGTCACCCTAGCTCAGAGTGTAACTACAGGGTAGAACAGATAAGGAGTTAACACATGTTGCAAGAGACCATTTGAGGTGAAGCGGGTGGTTAACACCTCCACAATCGAAGGACAAAAGGAGGGTTTGGTGTGTTCCGGATTTTTATAGTCAGCCATAAATCCAGTGTCTTTATTAAGCCCATGATTTTTGGTGTCTATCAGAGTTATGAATTTAAGCTCCCAGGCTTGTCTTTTGAAGGCGTTGTGCAGGTTTTCTTTGTTTGCCCAGCCTCTTCATGGGCCACTTTGAGGAAGAATTTCTGGACAAATGCACCACAAAACCAATGATATATCTGAGATACATTGATGCGATTTTCATCCTCTGGACAGACAACTTAAACTCCCTCAAAGATTACCACTACAACTTCAACAACCAGCACCCATCCATCAAACTTTCTCTAGAACATTCCCACACCAGCACCAACTTCCTGGACACCATGATCAACTTCAACAATGGTGCCCTACAGACAACTACATACAAGAAATCCCCAGATCACCACACCTACCTTCACCAATCCAGTAACCAACCCAAACACACCAAGACATCTGTTATGTATAGTCAGGCACTCAGATACCACAGAATATGCCCCATCGAGAAAGTCCCGGATACATACCTCAGCACACTTAAAACTACCTTTACCACATAAGGACACTCCGCCAGAGAAGTAGATCACATCATGGAATGGGCCACCCAAATACTCAAAAAGAACCTGCTTCAATACAGCAACCGCCCCCCCTCCGCCCAACTGCACACTCCTAGTTGTCACTTACCACCCTGCATTGGAACCCATACAGGGTATCATCAAACAACTATAACTCATACTCGATGTGGACCACATGTTGAAAGAAATCTTTCCTGAACTCCCTCTTCTGGCCTTCAAACAACCCCCCAACCCTGCCAAGCTCATCATCAGAGGCAAGCTCCCTACAGACCAGGACACACCACCTCAAAGCACCACCAGACCCTTCCAGAACAACAGATGCAAAACCTGCAGACATATCTCCACCTGTTGCGATGATCAACACTCCCACAACACACCTTTCAAGATCCATGGTTCCTTCACATGCGGATCACAACATATGGTTTCCTCATCCAGTGCACTAAATGTCCCAATAGCATCTACGTGGGTGAAACCAGACAGTCACTATGCTGTCGAATGAACTCACACAGAAAAATGATAAAAGACAAAAACACCCTATCACCTGTGGGCAAACACTTTTTACAGAACGATCACTCCATATCTGACCTCTCAGTCCTCTGCATAAACTCCTTCAAAAGATGAGCCTGGAAACTTTTAAATTCATAACTCTGCTAGATAGCAAAAATTATGGGCTTAATAAAGACACTGGATTTATGTCTCATTTACAACAATCTGGAACCCACAAACCCTCTTTTCTCCTTCAGTTGTTAACTTCACCTTGAATGGCCTCTTGCAACATGTGTTAATTCCTTATCTTTTTCACCTTGTATTTAACTGAGACACTCTGAGCATCTTTCCCAGCATTGAAGAGTTCTGCGTAAGCTCAAAAGCTTGTGTCTCTCACCAACAGAAGTTGGTCCAATAAAAGGCCTTATTGAAATTCCGGGAGGCGGAAGGGCGCAACCTTTGGGGAGGAGTCACAGGACTCAGGACTCAACTGAATATGGGGGACAACTAAGAAATAACAGGGCAGGGAGTGGAGGTCACAGGTTCAAAACTAGGGATCCAGAAGGGGACACCAAGCAGAGAACCCCGGACAGCACCCACTGCTCCTCAAAGCTGTCCAGGGAGCCAGTGGACGCCATCCAGAGGAACTCTGCATGGATGAGTGAGCCCAGGGAGGAACAGAAATAGGCCCCACAGACGCAAAGCACCTCCCCATCCAGCATCCTCCTCCTGGTGTTGAAGATGGCTATTTTGGCCAGTGCCAGGAGGAGGCTAACGAGGTCTCACGACTCTGTGGGGCCACAGACAGGGTGTGCATATATGAAAAGATGTGGGGAAAAGTGCAGCCAGAACCTCAACAGTAGGTTCTGGAGGAGTCAGATTAGGTGCTGCAACCTGGCCCATTCTAGATAGGCGTGCACCAGGATCTACCTCACACTGCAAAAGGGGCGGGCGTTGGGGATGGGGATGAACTACAGTAGGTACAGACCCGTGCTCATGGCTCCATGAAGGAGCCGCCAACTGATATCCCTGGCGGGCCATGAGTCTAGGGTGGCGTACAAGCTGGCCCACCGGGGGTTCCTCACCCTCCGCAGGTGGTAGAAAGTCCCACCACTCACCCACCTTCTCTCTAATATCCTGGGACCAACATGGCTATAACAACACTGCAAATAATATTCAGAGTTGTAATAGCAAATACTTAAAAGAGAGGGTTAAAAGAGATATAAAGCCTCATGTTTAAGGCTTAAACTAGTCGCTAACCAGTAGGGGTTACGATGAAACTTTAATGGAGTCAGATTATCTCACATCTGCAGTTTCCAGTACCCTTCTGTGAAGCAGCTGATGTACAGCAATTCTTAGGTTAACAATGACACTGCATTGTGAGTTCATTTTTACTTTGCTTTTTATTATCCCTAGAAGGTTTTCCAGACTCGCTGCTTTCCAGATAACTGTCTGGAACCAATATGTATTTTTGCTGCTTATTTCCTTTCCCTAGCTGTATGAATTTACATTTATTAGCACTGAATGCATCTCATTGCATTCAGCCCACTGATCCGATTTTTCCTGACCATTTTGTTGTTTGGATTTGGGCTACTAAATAATTCACTGTCTTAGGTTAGTTTACTTTCCTTCCAATTTCTGGGTTGCTGGAAAATTTGATCACAGTTGAATCTATACCTTTCTTTATATTGTTAATATTGTTAAATAATATGGATTCCATAACTGACTACCTTAATACTGGTCCCCACTTGAAGGTTGTATTATTAACAATTACTCTGTTGGTTACATGTTATATCCAGTTGGTATCTATGCAGTTTTGAAGTTTATTATTTATGCATTTATTTATTACATAGTACTACTATGAATTGTGAATTACCAGCATGGAGACCTAGAAACCCAATGGGACTCAATCACATCACACAAGTTCTTTATTGCAATTCAGATGTTCTATGCCCGCTGGCTTCTCTTCAACTACTACAATAGTAATCCCATCAAAGAAGCCTATTGTATTTGTTTGGCAGCTCTCCAGCTTTTCCCTCCTACCCTGCACAGGAACCACAGTTGCATTTAGTTGTCAGGTACCTCGCCTGACTGCCATGATTTATTGAAGATCAGGTTCACAAGTTCTGATGTTTCCTTTGCTAAGATCTGGGCCTGCATCCATAAGAGTCAATGGAGTTTTGTCAGTGACTTCAATGAGAACAGGATCAAGCCCTTAGTCCTTTTAAAATTCTTGGGATGTAGTTCACTCAGATCTTTGGTCAATACTCTCTCACTGTCTATTTATTTACCCTTTGCTCTGCTAGATTAGGCCATCACTCTTCTCTGTCGCTCTGTCTAATATCAGCATGTTTCCTTCATGTGACTGTATCTTCATTTCTATCCTAACATTCTGCTGCTCAAAAAAAAAAGATGCCTCCAGAGTTTGCAAGTCAGACTTATCTGCAGAGGATCAATGATATACAGCAGGGGCCAAAGACACAAAGTTGCAGAGGCCGAGGGAAATGCTCCAACAAAACATCTCTGCGATTTCTGATGAAAATAAGTACAATGTGGTGCTGAATGAAAGCACAAAGGGTTGAGGGTTTGGGGCCTTTTTTTTTGCTATATCTATCTATAAATCAATAGCACTCTATTCAGAAATTAATCACAGCAGGTGGGAAGATCCTGCCCAGATTTGAAAAGACAGATGTTTGAGCTTCAAAAGAGTTTTTTGAAACTCTGGTTCTCCCAGTCTCTCCACACTACTAAACCACACACACATACAAACAAGAAATTTCAAGACAAGTTTACCATTTGCCAATGATCTTACTGACATATCCTGCCTTCTTCAGCAATTCTGGAAGCAGCAGCTCAGAACCTGGGATTCCCCCTACTATTTCCTGTGGTGTATAGGCTGTATAAAACAAGAACATGTTTTTAAACTCATCACTAAGGCTAGCAAGCAGGTCAGGAAAGCTTATGGACACTCATCCCTAGAAGCTTATTTGACAGGACCAAAAATTGGGCTAGCTTAATGGTCCAACACTACTGTAGTAAAGGATTCAAATTCTCCAGCCCACCAGGTCTCGGAACAAGCTGACTCAGCAAACTCGCTGCTCCAGGGAAGGGAGCCCTTCACACATGCAGCCTTTGTTGGCTGGAGGGACGGTGTGGATGCAGGTGGCTGTAAGGAGAGCAAGTTGGGGCCGTTTGGTTTACACTTTTGCCAAACTGCTTGAAGTTATCCACAACTAGTGCATTTTTATAAGTCAAAGGATTAGTTAAATAAAGGACAAATGGACTTGCTCAAAGTGCACTGGCTGATCCAAAATAGCGTGTCTCCAATATTTTCTAGTTGAGAACACAGGGCACAACCACCAGTGAGTTAGGAGATACCCAAGTTCTCCCACTGATGCATAGTGTGAACCAATAGGTAGCTGTAAGTGTGTGCCCAGAATGTGTGGTCTCATAAAGCACCTGTAATTTTAGAATTAGACCAACCCAAAGACATTCTGAGCAGGTACATTCCTTCATGAGTGCTGGAGGAGAGATCTCCTGGCAGGCAGCATCGTGTTATGTAACTCTCCTTGTTTTACTGGCCGGGAGAGGTTTACTTCTGTAAGGCTGTATGAGGGGGTGTTTGCCCCACACAAGACTTGAAACCATTAAAAATGGCCAATTAACCTTACATGACAGGCGGCATCCGGCGGAGAGGCAGGGACTACTAAGGCCTAACAGCTGATGAAGCCCTGCTGGGGGAGGAGTTGGGATAGGCTTATAAAGAGAGGAAGTTGGTGGGAGGAGAAGGGCTGCAGGGAGGAGCTCTGACGTCACTCCCTAGAGAGGAGGGCAGTTGGTCAGAGATGAGGAGGTGGCCTAGCGGGGAGTAAGCCCTGGGATCCTGCCTTAGAATACAGACTCTGGCAAGAACCCAAGGGACGGGTGAAATAGCCACAGGGAGCAGAGGGGGGTCAGAAGATAGGGAAGAAAGGCAGGAAAGAGGCCATGGAATTGGCAACAAGGTTGGAGCTGGAGAAGACTGTTGTTGGTGGGCATAGAGTCCCTGGGCTGGAACCCCGAGTAGTGGGCAGGCCTGGATTCCCCTACTGGCCACTGGAAAAGTGGTACTGACTGGCCAGCGGATCAAAAGACTGCCTGAGACACAAAGAGGGAGCAACCTGAGCCCAGAGAGAGACACCATGGGGTGAGCAACTGAAGGAGGGGGCGTTAGACTGGTCAAGAACTAATCCCCAGATGAAGTACAAGGAGACGCCCCAGCAGTGAGTAGTAAACCCCATGAGAGACTTGATTTTAAACAGCTTGTTCTTAAGCTAAAACGTTAACACCACATCCCATGTCACTTTTCTTCTTTCACTCAATGTTAATTAGCCCACCCAAGGAACCAACATCTCAGCCAGAAGAAGCAAACAGATTAACATCTTAACTTAGGTCTTTTTGCTTAATGTGAACATTTGGCGATGTCCTTCCTTTTCAGCATCATGCGTAAGAAGCAATACACTTCACACCTGTTCTTATTAACTGCGGTGGAGCTACATGCCAATCGCTTGTTGTCACTCTGAAAATGTACCTCCTGGAAAACCCATGAAGGTAGAGCACAGAGCCAAATGCCAATATTCAGCCATGCCTGCTGCCAAGCGAAAAGGCAAAGAATAAAGGAAGAAAAGGCATTTCTAGGAGAAGCAACACTGATGTTCGCACCATTTCTGGCATGGGCATTCGTGGTGTAGAACCCATTCCTGATGGGGAGACGTCCCGTCAACAGCGCTGCTCGTGCTGCAGATAAAACAATCAAAACAAAGAAAGCATGAATAGGGTGTCTTATTTTCTTTATACAAATTCTCTGCTTCAGAGGTCATGTTTTGGCTGATGACAGCATGATGACTGGAGATCGTAGGGAATTTCTGCTATAGATTACTGCTTAGCTGATAAGAGTAATAATCAACCCAAAGGATCCTAAAGTGATGTACATACTTGGCCAGATTCTGATAACAGCCACACTAGCATAAATCCAAAGTGACGCCACTGATGTTAACGGAGTTATTCCAGTTCCACTGAGATTGCAATCTGGCCCTTGTGTGCAGAAAGCAGTTTACCCACTACTGAAACGTGACCACCTCCAGATAGGAAATGCAGCCGCCATTCTGTCCAAGTAACTTTAAACAGCATTTCTGGGGTGAGTATATGGGAGACACATCTTAATCTAGCTCAGATAAATCAGTTATTTGCTAAACTTACATTCATTATCTTGCCTTGGCAAAACCATTTTATCTACTTCTACAATTAACAAAGGCAAGGTATCCAGCTCTATCATGATAGAGATCAAGGCTCTGATTCACGAAAGTAGTTAAGCAGATGTCTAATTTTAAGCATCTGCTTAAATCCCACTGAAGTCAATGGGACTTAAGCAGGTGTTTTAGTGCTTTCCTGAATGGGGATGGACTTAAAACATATGGTTACATGTTTTCCCAAATGGAGGCCTCAGAAAGTCCTCTTTTCTCCTTTATATTTTAGCTGTCAGCTGGCAATCAGACTTGAAGAACCAGACACAGTGACAAAGATGTAAAATCTACATGGGACTCAAATGGCTTTGTCCCTTTTCCCCTCTCTAAATCTCTTAGTGGCTAACAGCGACAACAATGGGCCGGAACGTGTAGTTGCTCCACGCATTGAAGTCCCAGTCAATGGAAGTTCTGCCTATAGAACAGAATCAAGCCCATTGTGTGCCTCCTTCCTGTTGGATTTGTCCAACAAAGATTTAGATACTGTTTTGTCTGATTGCCCCAAAGAGGGAAGAGATGAAATAATTCAGCTGCAGAGGCCTGAAGGCTAAAACAGAATTTAAAAAATCCTTTAAATGAAGTGTTTTGATGACTAAAATACTGTTTTGTATGAACAGAAGATTGTAGTTTTTCCTCAAGAAAAAAATAAAAAGGAAGCAAAATGCAAGATGAAAGCTCCAAATCCTAACACTGTCTTAAGGGTAATCACTGGTTTGGTTGCTAGTTTATGTAAGATGCTGGCAAACATCCTGATCTTCCCAGAAGGTGACAATTTTACATGGTGGTTTAAAGCTGAAGTTTACTTACATGGCGAGCACAGAGGGTTAGCAGTGTAGAAATTTGGGAAGAGCATCCCTTCTGAAGCCATCTGGTCCAAGTTAGGGGTTTCTTTAGAGGGCTCTCCAAACACTCCCAAATCACCCCAACCCATCTGCAGAAAGACCAGACCAAAAAAGACAGAAGTAATTTTAGCTTTCTATAAACTACTGTACTACCTTCTGGACCAGAGTAGCATTTTTATTTTTATAAGCTTTTCTATAGTGCTCATCACTATAATATCTGAACACTTCACATACACAATATGAATTTATCCTCACAACCCTTCTGTGAAGTAGGGAAGTATTACTGTCACCATTTACAGATTGAAACTGACAGACAGAGAGAGATTAAGTGACTTGCCCAAGGTGGCAAAAGAAATCTATTACAAAACTGGGAACAGAACCCAGATCTCTTCAGTCTCAGTCCAGCATCTTAATTATAAAATTATCCACTGCAGGCCTACATTTCCAAATACTGGATATACGCAATCAGAAATGCACAGTGAAGATCTCAGTAAAAAAGTAGGATTGCATAATAACTGAGGGCATTGAGGGGTATAGTTTAAAAGCAAAGCTCAGGACAGAAGTGCGCCATTATCACATCATTTCTCTTTGCCAGTGTGCCAGATGATGGCCTTACCATAGTGTGGCTTAGGACAAAGATGTGTGGCTAATGTGACCACACAGCTCCTGCTCAGAAGCCTATTTTGTGCAAAAAAGGGAGCTTTAGAAAATTACCAACCTATTTGGCTAATTTCAATACTGAAAAAATAATACTGAAGCAAAAAGGGAGCAACTTACTGAGCAATTAGGCGCTATGCCTGCATAAAGATTCTACTCTGCCTTAAATATTCAGAAGCTTTCTTTACTACAGTCACGTATCAGATGGGCAAAAGAAATGCAGAGGGCATAATACATCTAGATATTGGGAAAGCTTTCAATGCAGTCCCACTTGAGAGTCTAATAGAGACATCAGAACGCCGCAGTTTGGAAAAGAATACTGCAGAATAGATACAAAGCTGGCTGATGGATCGTGAGCAGAGAGCAATGAAATGGTACAACATAAAACCAAGAAGTGGAATTAAGAAGAGTTCCAAAGGGGTCAGTGTTGAGTTCCGTATTGTTCAATATCTTTACCGGTGATAATGAAGGAGAAAAGAATAGTCTAGCAATCAAATTCACTGACACAACGGAGGAGGCATAGATACTTCAGTAAGATCAGAGAAATAGGCAAAAGCCCAAGGAAGGGTATTATTTTTATTACTGTGGCACCCAGAAGCTCCCATCAGGGCCTGTGCCCCATTATGCTTGGTGCTGTACAAAGATATATGGAGAGATTATCCCTGCCCCCAAAGAGCTTTAAATATAGAAAAAAATTAAAGTTCACTTGGGAGAAAATAATCCTGAATATGAAATGGGAAACATAGGTGGGCAGCTACATCAAGTCATCACAAGGCAGCCAGGTAGGTGATAGCTGTGAGTTGGCACACCACCTCTGTCCATAGACACCCTCAATTAGCTTTCTGAGAAGCTCAAAACTACATGCAACACATTCCTGCCAAGAAAGAATCCAAAGAAATAAATGCAGATCTTCGAAGAGAAGCTACCTGAGGGGATACTGCCAACTTAAAAATCCTATGTTGTAAACAAATACATTTATTTAACTATGTTACTAACACCATCATTGATGGTTAAAGGCAAATAATTTTAAGACTAATTCATCTGTGATTATTTTTGCTCTTTATTTAATTTGTTTTTCTTTGCATTTTTCTCAGTATGGGCACTGAAAATTAATGAAGTCAGCTTCCTTCTTATTGTTTGTTTCATTTGGAAGCTCTTAGTGGTGCAACGTTTGGATTTTAACTAGGGCTGTCGATTAATCGCAGTTAACTCACCCAATTAACTCAAAAAAAATTAATCGCAATTAATCGCAGTTTTGAAATTTATTAAATACTGTATTTTGGATGGTTTTCTACATTTTCTCATATATATTGTATTCTGTGTTGTAACTGAAATCAAAGTGTATATTATTTTTGATTACAAATATTTGCACTGTAAAAATGATAAACAAAAAATAGTATTTTTCAGTTCACCCATACAAGTACTGTAGTGCAATCTCTTTGTCGTGAAAGTGCAACTTACAAATGTAGATTTTTTGTTACATAACTGCACTCAAAAACAAAACAATGTAAAACTTCAGAGTCTACAAGTCCACTCAGTCCTACTTCTTGTTCAGCCCTCTTCTTATTTACAATGTCACCAGAAAGTGAGAACAGGCATTTTGTAGCCTGCATTGCAAGGTATTTACGTGCCAGATATGCCAAACATTCGTATGCCCCTTCATGCTTCGACAACCATTCCAGAGGACATGATTCCATGCTGACGACGCTCGTTAAAAAAATAATGTGTTAATTAAATTTGTGACTGAACTCCTTGGGGGAGAATTGTATGTCCCCTGCTCTGTTTTACCCGCATTCTACCATATATTTCATGTTATAGCAGTCTCGGATGATGACCCAGCATATGTTCATTTTAAGAACACTTTCACTGCAAATTTGACAAAATGCAAAGAAGATACCAATGTGAAATTTCTAAAGATAGCTACAGCACTCAATCCAAGGTTTAAGAATTTAAAATGCCTTCCAAAATCTGCGAGGGACAAGGTAGGGAGCATGCTTTCAGAAGTCTGAAAAGAGCAACACTCCAATGCAGAAACTACAGAACCCGAACCTCCAAAAAAGAAAATCAACCTTCTGCTGGTGGCATCTGACTCAGATAATGAAAATGAACATGCATTGGTCTGCACTGCTTTGGATTGTTATCGAGCAGAACCCGTCATCAGCATGGACACATGCCCCCTGGAAGAATGAAGGGACATATGAATCTTTAGCACATCTGGCACGTAAATATCTTGCAACACCAGCTACAACACTGCCATGAGAACGCCCATTCTCACTTTCAGGTGATGTTGTAAACAAGAAGCAGGCAGCATTATCTCCTGCAAATGTAAACAAACTTGTTTGTCTGAGCGATTGACTGAACAAGAAGTAGGACTGAGTGGACTTGCAGGCTCTAAAATTTTACACTGTTTTATTTTTGAATGCAGTTTCTTTTGTACATAATTCTACATTTGTAAGTTCAACTTTCATGATAAAGAGATTGCACTACAGTCCTTGTATTAGATGCACTGAAAAATACTATTTCTTTTTGTTTTTTTACAGTGCAAATACTTGTAATCAAAAATAAATATAGAGTGAACACTGTACACTTCGTATTCCATGTTGTAATTGAAATCAATATATTTTAAAATGTAGAAAACATCCAAAAATATTTAAATAAATGGTATTCTATTATTGTTCAACAGTGCGATTAATCGCGCAATTATTTTTTTTAATCGCAATTACTTTTTTAAATCACTTGACAGCCCTAATTTTAATCAGTTTCTGAAAGTGTGCTGAACATGGTTTGTCCTTGTCCACACTTGCAGCTGCACTCTGTTCTGCACTGGTTCAACTACACCCATTGCTGACACCAACGGATATTTTTGTAGCACAGACAAGGCTTTGGTGACAATGACTCTTCAAAAGGAGAAGCCACTTATTTCAGGAGGTTAAGGGTGGAACAAGAAGAATACCCTGAAAATTCAAGTCAGAAATTCAGAAACATTTTCCAACAGTGTGATCGGTTAGTCAATGGAATAATTTTCCAAAGGCAGTAACTGAATCACAATCACTAGGGGTGTTGATGAGTAGACTACTAGAAAAAATGCATAGGTGCTTAGCTCCTGATCCCACAAAGCCTTACACACATGCTTAACTTTATGCATCTGAGTAGTCCCATTTGTCTTCAATAAGACTACTAATGGGTGTGAAGTTAAATTCATGCATAAGTTTTTTTGCAAGATAGGAGCCTTAGTGAGTATGTTTACCTGCAATGAGAAACCTGTGGCTAGCCCATGCCAGCTGACTCAGACTTGTGGGCTTTGAGCTAAGGGGCTGTTTAACTGCAACGTAGACGTTTGGGCCCAGGCTGAAGCCTGGGCTCTAGAAGCGTGCAAGATGGGAGGGTCCCAGAGTGCCGGCGCCTGAACCTCTACATCGCAATTAAACAGTCCCGTAACCCAAACCCTGCAATCCCAAGACAGCTGGCACGGGCCAACCGCGGGTGTCTAATTGCAGTGTAGACGTAGCCAACGTAGACTGGGGCAGTAACGCACTAATGCAAACACAGTATTCAGGGCCCAGGTACTCCTCTCCACCTCTTTATAACTTTTACATAAAATCTGGAAAGGGCTTGAAAGGGAACATCAGAGCATTCCAATTTTCAGAATACAAGTGAAGATTTTTAATCTGATAAAGAAACAATGACTGGTATCAGATAAAATTTCATTCAAATAGTTAACCCAAGTTCCAAGAACGCTCCCAAAACACTGGCACTAAACAAATACCATTGTAAAGAATTTTTAATATTTATCATGCGTAAGCTGTTCTAAGGGTGAATAATGAACCGATTATGCACGTTATTCCACGTGGGCAGACCCCTGTGCTCGCACGGAGCCCTGTTGACTTCAATGGTGTTGGTTCAGCAGTTCGGCCACATGGAGTAGTTTGCAAGACTGAGACCTTGCAAACCCAATCTTTAAGCACTTTTTTTTTTTCTTTTCTCCCATTTCTGGCCTTCATTCATATTACTGTGTCCCACTGATTATCCTAACTCCCCAAGTTTCTGCGATGCCCATTATATCAATATCCTCATTTAATACAAGGCACTCTAGTTCACCCATCTTATTATTTAGACTTCCATCACTGGTATATAAGCATTTTAAAAACTTGTCACTTTTTAGCTGTCACCCATTACATGATGACAGGTTCCAGTGGTAGCCGTGTTAGTCTGTATCAGCAAAAACAACGAGGAGTCCTTGTGGCACCTTAGAGACTAACACATTTATTTGGGCGTAAGCTTTTGTGGGCTCAAACCCATTTCATCAGATGCATGCAGTGTAAAATACAATAGGCAGGTATAAAAATACAGCACATGAAAAGATGGGAGTTGCCTTATCAAGTGGGGGGTGTTAGGGGGGTCAGTGCTAATGAGGCCAATTCAATCAGGGTGG